TAACAACCCTCTAGATGTCACTCCCAGCTTTTAAGAAATTCTTGATGTTTCTTATGCTATGACAGCAGTTCTAACAGAGCACTTTGTCAGCATGCAAACATGTTGTTTCTTAGTTTTCAGGAGGGGGGTGGAGCACACTATGTTTTTCTGTAGTTGGAGCTTCATTAGGTAGCCTAGAGAGTTGGCACATTGTTCCTTAAAATAAGAGAATATCAGAGGGATGTAGTCATTCAGCTCAGTAGTTAAATGTGGAGTTTTTTGCCTTACTTTACAGAATTTACTGAATAACTGCCATCAAGCTGAAAGGTTTCTGACTTGAAGCATATTTACACTCTAAGGCACTAGCATCTTCCTGTGGAGGTTCTATGCTTCCCTGATGGTGTCTGCCATCTCATTTTCTTGATGCCAGCTTATCTCATTCTAGTATCTATTAACGCTACATTCTGTTGAGTGACTAATGTCAGCACATTACCAGCATTGATAGATACTATTTTAATATGCTTTTTGACAGTAAATAAAGCCATAATGAATAAGCAACAAGTATAGTCATGGCCCATTTATTTATTTCTGTAATTAGACATTAGCCATCCACTTGTTACAGTAGATACATAGGAGTATGCAGGGTTAAGTCCTTGGCTTTATAGGTTGGTATATTCATTTATCTAAAGATTCTGTTATGAATGCTCTGCAAATATCATTATGAAGGGAGATTTAGAAATGGGGCTCTGTGCTTGATAAAAAGTTGAAGTAATAGTTTACATGTAAAATAATGAGTGTGATGTAAGTCAGTGATATAGCTAGATTGCTAATGTTTTGGGGGTTTGGTGTTAAATATGGAAATAGTATATGATGTAATGTGAACACACCAGCAATGTTTATGGGATACTACTCCTAGTCAGACATTTTGAGACTCATTTTCAATACACAGTAAAGTTACTATTTTAATACTAACTTCATTAGAAAATGTTTTTTACTCATTGAATGCTTCATTAGAAAATGTTTTTTATTCATTGAGTTATTATTAAAAATTATATTTGTAAAATATAAGTTTTACTACAGGCAAAAACAACAATTTCTATGGAACCATGATATTTATGATAAATTAGAAGAATAAGATTTAGACATTCAGTGTAGCAAACATGGCTAAATAGGATTCTTTTATTAAAAACATTGAGGGAAAGTGACATCAAAGCACAGACAAAACTAACAAATTAAGAGTCACAAGATAGGGGATTATAGATTGGCCAAGGTTTAGTGTTGCATTTGAATATGCATGAATAGCCCCAAGTCTAGAAAATATTTAGCCTCTTGACAAAGCTCTGCTTTTGGAGAGACAGAGTAGGAGTATTGAGTTGTTCAGTCTTCTGACTTTTATGTATTAGCAGCATCTTGGAACATCTCAATTGACATGCTCTAAGGCAGTGTCGCTCACCAAGTCATCTCTAGAGGGTGACTTTAGTGTGTACCTGTCGGATCCCAAACACGTTGCAGGCTCTGCTTGTTGTTGATTGTAACAAGCACTGTGGAGCCCTGTAGTGTGGCCCTCTGAGCCAGGTGCCGTGGACCAGAGCACTTTTGCGTATAGTCCAACAGGAGATGAGACATGGTTGGGAGAATGAGTATGCGGATGATAGCATTCAAGTTCAGATTGCTGTGGACTGATCTAAACTTTTTATTCACCTTCACTTTGATAACTTAGAGTTTTATTTGTGTGTGAAGTAATATATTGATTTTGGTTTTTCAGAAAGGAAACAAATTTGTTAGTGTCAGTATGACTTCATTGCTCAGTCCTCTGAAGGAAACATTTATATTTTCTTTATACGGAAAGCCCATTTTATTATACTTGTTTTAACATAAGTAAAGTTTCTGTTTTTATTTTTAAATAATACTTAACCATGAAGAAGAATCGCTTAGGTAAATTGCTTACTTTGAATGAGAAAAAGCCATCCTCACTTGATAATGTATTTCTCATTCTTGTTTTTTGTCAGGGGTGAAGGCATGTCTACAAAGCAAACAATGCGAACAGGAAGAGAAATATGAGATTCCTCTAGGACCACAGAGAAGCAGGCTCAACCGAGAACAGCTGGTATTTTCCTTTTGCTACTACTTTCATTGTTCTTATATCTGAATATTATTATCTCTATCACATCAGGAAAAACTTCTCCTGCCCTTTCAACAAGTCCAGGTGACTGCTTACAATTTTAATTGTACTTATTTCAAGCCCTTGATTCTAAGAGATGATCACGAAGAGCAGTAAAATCCAGAAGGTAATAATTTCACACTGTTAATGGGTTTTTGGCATCTTGAACGTTGCCATAAACCTTTCAGAATCTGAGGCGAAGTCGCAGATACAGGAAGGAACTTGAAAGAAGACTTACAGCTGCTGCTCGGATTTAGTTACCATATGTCTTTATTGCCATATATTGCAGTTTTAATGGATAATGTTCCATTATCCTGTTGATGTATACATTAGAAATGATGAAGAAGAAAAATTTTCATACAAGGGATTCTGAAACTTTTTTTTCCCCATAAAGCACACAGAAGTGTGTTTCATAGCTAATTGAATCCTTGGCCATGGCTTCATAATGTATTGTGCTCCATGCAGTACATCTCTAAACCCTGCAGCGGCAGTCCTGAGCAGCTGCCCTAGAGCCTTAGGCTGTTAATAAATAGGGCCTCAATATAGATGGGCAGAATTATAAAAGTTCGTGGAAAAGATGGTATCCTTATAACTTAACTTGAGCCCATATCCCTGAAGCATATTTCAGATACCCAGGAATCCTTGAGCTTTTAGGTCCCACCAAATAGGAGTTAATTTTCTGATAAAAGAAATTTGATGAATAGTTTTGTTTGCTTTTTTTGTGTGGTTGTTTTATACAAAACACATCTAAAATCTGATGAGAGTCAAAAGTACCTGAGATGGTGACTGAGTCTTAGGGGAAAAAAGTATAACTAGGAAACCTATAAATGCATAAGTCTTTTTATTATGACCCAGAGAGTTCACTTGAAATACACCACATCCCAGCACCTCCTTAAGTAACTGCTTAATTGCTCCTGACTGTATTTTTAATTCCCTCATTTATATGCAGTGTTTTAAAATATTTTGATCTGCTTTTAACAAGCTTTTTTCTTTTAAATATATATATATTTTTTAATTGATTTCAGACAGGAAGGGAGAGAGTAAGATTAATAAGACAAGCTTTTTTCTTTTGTTATTTCAGTTGCCAAAGCTGTTTGATGGATGCTACTTCTATTTTGAGGGAATCTTCAAACACCATCCCAAGGACAACCTGATTAAGCTCGTCACTGCAGCTGGGGGCCAGATCCTCAGGAGGAAGCCCAAGCCCGACAGTGATGTGACTCAGACCATCAACACGGTCGCCTACCACGCCAAACCCGATTCCGACCAGCGCTTCTGCACGCAGTACATCATCTATGAGGATGTGTCCTGTCACCGCCAAGAGAGGGTTCGTCAGGGCAAAGTCTGGATGGCTCCTTCCAGCTGGTTTATAGATTGTGTGATCTCCTTTGAGCTGCTCCCTCTTGACAGCTGAGTACTACGCCACAGGCACACGTCAGATTGAATGTAGACAGTGTGAGGACCTAGCCCTTTCACTGTCTTGATCATTCTCATTTTTATAAATAGGTAGACTGATTCATATTTTTTCCCTTGAATTAAAAAACAATCTTATGCCAGATTAGGAATTTATTCTGTGCTTACCGTTTAGATGCTGAGATTGCATTGAAGGATTTTCTTTTTAAAACTGATATATGTTTTGATTCATCATGTCTTTGTACTCAAATTGTCAGCTATCAAAGATTAATGGGAGAGTATCAGAACTACTGCTTGATATAACAAGTGGTGTCAGTAATATCTCAGTCTTTTAATGTTTTTTTGATGAAATAATCTATACCTGCCATCAGCAGAAATTGTCATTCCATTCGTTAGTAAACAAAACATTGTCAGATAATTTATTGTTATGAAAATAGAGTACCTGGTTTACATGTGTTCTGATAGGTGTTAACTTTTTCTCCTCTCTTCAGTTGTATTCATTTTACATTGTTTCTTATAACTTAGTTTCTTAAAATTTTCTTGGATGTCTGTAGCTACTTTTTTATCTTGCCTCTTTATCAGGAAATCATGATTTGAACCTTAACGTTAACTGTTCTTTGGTGATGAAAGTCAGCATTGGCTCATGGCACATATTTTTATTGTATGCACTTGCTTATCGTTGCTGCTATATTTATCTCTATGAATACATACTTCAAGCATTTTCTCCAACATATTTTAGTATCAATATTTCTTAGAATGTCTCACCAGACTAGCAAATTGTCAATCAAATGGTAGACCTTACTATCTATTGCTAAAATAATTTTTTAAAGGTCTTAATTTCTTCCTTCATAAGATTTTTTGTTATTGTTCCTTTTCTTCCTTCCTTCCTTCCTTCCTTCCTTCCTTCCTTCTCCTACTACTACTTTTTAAATTTTTAAGTTGCTGTGGAGGCAGAAGTTGGGGATTACTTTATTTAGAACAGATTTTATCCAGATGACACAAAAGGCCATAACAGTAAGTCTAGAGGTAGGAATGGGAAGAACTTACTCATAATAGCAAAATAGTCAAGGCTGCGGAGTAGTGGACAGGAGGCCACCTGAGAATGGGGAGACCTGGGAGGTTACTCCAGTCTGAGTGTTCTCGTTTGTGGATCTGCAAGGTACATTAGGTCATTTAAAAACATGTTTTAAGAAGTCTTCCTAGAAATTAAATGTTCTTAAAACTCTAAGGACATGGAAGGAAGATACTGTGACACCTTTCAGCTTGGTCACTCCTGGGCCAAAGAGACAGTTGGATGACCACTGGACTAGAATACTGAGAGCCTGAAGTTAATGGACATTTTAAGATTCATTTATTTTAAAGTTAAAGATTCTGCTGATTATTCAAAATAAATTTTACTTTAGTTTCTTCTTAGACATACTACTTTTCGATATCAAGAAATATATTATGTGAATGCAGTAATGTACTGCTAACACTGACCTTCAAGGGTGAATTAGCTCTGAAACTCCAACCAGTAATGTGTTTGTCCTGCATTTCCTTCTAATGGAGAATGATGAATACCACAGCACCAAACAAAGCTGAGGGTTAGATAATGTCTGGATGGAAGAATTTAAGATGCTTTGGGATTTGGGTTGTCATTTTTTATTTATAACTGACTTTTCATCATTTGCTATTAGCTCATTGGTCGCATTCCTGGACAGGTGTGTGCCTGTTCCTCTGATCTGAGTCCCTGTTTGTAAAAACCCCTTTGGGGATGTTGCTCACTTTCCTTTGTTCCTTTTCTTGGTCTGTCCTCCTCACTCTTTGTCGTATTTTGTCCCCCACTATTCAGCAGTTTTATTTTTGCTTTCTTTAAATACTTATTTTGATGGCAGTGGATTGATGTCAAACTCTAGAAACTTGTACTTTCTGCATAGATATACTTGTAATTATTTTAATTCCCAATCATAGATTCAAGCATCCTTTTATTTACCTTAAATCATTAAAGTTATTTATGTTTCTGTATCTTCTTAGAGGTGGTTTATTCTGCTCCTGGAGAATGAGACTCAGTAAGACTTGTGAGGAAATCTTTCAGCTAATAAACACTTATCTTTTGAAACACTAATGCTTTTTAATTGACACCCAGAAGTTTCTATAAGAATGGCTCTGTGAGAGAAGTGGGGATGGCGCTACACTATTCACCTTTGACTTTTCTCCCCACCTGTGAGTGAAGTTTCCCTGTCAGTAGCCAACCTGGCCATTCAGCTATGATTTTGTTTGGAGACACTTACTTTGGATACCAAGACTGCTTAGCAACCCACCTTAGGAAGGCCGGGCCAGACCTCCATGAGCATGTGTCACAAGCCTGGGTTGCGGGCTCAGTCACCTCAGCCCCTCTGCTCCATGACCTTGGGATAACCTTACTTTACATATTTATAACAAAAAAAGAAGGCTGGTCGTTTCTACTTTTAATCCATAATTTCTGAGACTCGTGGAAATCATTCCTATTTGCTTCATGGCTCAAATATTACTAAAATATTTTGCCGTCAATCAAATATAAAGGTGTTTTCCTGAATTGTACCAATGTGGCTATCTTCTTCAAGTTTCTAAATAACTGCTTACAGAAGTATTACATAATTACTGTGGAAAATTTGCAAAGTACAGAAACACCAGGAAGAAAATAATTTCCAAATTCAGGAATCATAAAGTGACTAATTGTTTTGTTTGGCCTTCATAGTGTTACAATTTTTCATTGAATGTTATTGAAAGGTCACGTGTGCTTCAGTTCCCCGCAGTCCCCACTACTCCTTACTGTCTGTCCCCTTCCATTTTATTTACTTACTTGGCCTTGGAAATATTGTCAACCCACAACCCAAAATAACTATTAACATTCTTATCTTTTTTTAAAAAAAAATTTAAGCATACACACACAGCTTTTATAACTAACGCATAAACCTTAAATATACTTTCACTCCATATTTTCCCATGTAATTAAATATTCTTGTCCATAATTTTCAATAGTTGCATCCTATCTATCAACAACATATGTTATAGTTTATTTAACCATATCCCTGCTGTTGAATATTTGGATTATTTCTATTCTAGATAAAGCTATATAAACATACTTAAAATCCTATATAATAAAACCCTAATCCACAAACCAACCGAATGGCGGAATGACCAGTTGCTATGATTCACACTGACCACCAGGAGGCAGATGCTCAATGCAGAAGCTTCCCCCTGGTGGTCAGTGTGCTACCACAGGGGAGCAAATCTCAGCCAGAAGCCGGGCTCATGGCTGGCAAGCACAGTGGTGGTGGCGGTGGCAGGAGCCTCTCCCACCTCCACAACAGCGTTAAGGAACAGCAAGCTGAGCAGTAAGGAGCAGCGAGCGGGCAGGTGGTAAGGAGTGAGGGATCCCGGACTGTGAGAGGGATCCTGGACTGCGAGAGGGGTATCTGACTGCCAGTTTTGGCCCGATCCCCCCTCAGCGGACATCCCCCATGGGGTCCCAGACTGTGAGAGGGAACCCCCCCGCCCCAGTGCATGAATTTTGTTCACCGGGCCTCTAGTACGTTTATAGTAATAAATTTTGGTCCTGGAGGGAGTGGTAGATTTTTATTAAATGTAATGCTAAGTCACCTTCTGTCATTACCATTTCTGCAAAATGCAGTGCACACCATATACATTTAGATTAAGATGTATAGTTATGCTTAAAATATAAAAATTATAAAATGAGCCTTAATTGCTTGCTATGATTTTCATGAGTTGATGAGACTACATATAAGGTTGAAAACATTCAAGCTCTTAGGGGTTTGAAACTAACCAGAAAAAGGAGGATAAAGGAATCATAGGCCTTTTGGTGGAGACAGACGGAGAGAGAATAGGATGGAGGAATATAATTTTTAAAAGTTCTCTAGGTGATTTTTATGCCTGCACTTCCCACAGTTGTAAGTCACTGCTCTGGTACCATTTATTGTTGGAAATGTACTTGTGACATGGTCACACCATGTAGAAATTGTATTTCTGATTTAGGTGCCCATTGCAATGCAGCGTGTGTGTGTGTTTGACTAAATGTAACCATGTATTATGTATGTTTTCTATCTGATTGCCCAAGACACACATTTCTAAAGCTAAGGTATTTGCTATAGAATATGGTGATTATTATGCCTTAAAGTCATCTGCTGAAGTCCAGACACCTGGCAGTACATTCAGATTATTTTTCTGGGTTGTGGAGTGGTGATTAACAAATACAACGTTTAATTAGTTTTAAAAGGGAATTCAGACATTCTGAAACGTAAACCACGTTTGAAGATTTCGATTGGCCTTTCTTTTCCAGGTATGTGACAGAAGAGCTAAGCCTTCTTGTGCAAAAAGCAATAGACTTTTTTAGGAAGTACCCTCTTATTTATAAAGGGCTTTGCAAAGATTCACTAGCAGTTACCCTCTTCCTTTAAAAAATACGTATCTAGCTTTACATTTTCAAAAGAGGTTGAACAAAAGTCTGGTACTGACTCCCTTAATAATTTGTACATTGATCCATGAGATACTTATTGGGAAACTACTGGGTATCCTGCTTTGTTGTTCACCTGGAGCAACTAAGGTGAGCAAGACCTGGCTACAGCCTTGGGGGGGCTTACTCTGTATTAGAGCCACACAAGTAAGCCGGTGATGGCACAGCTGTTCTTGGCACGGCAGCCCCTGCAACTTTGTCAGGACACACTTCGAGGAGGCTACCTTGCCACACATGACTTGCTGGGCACAAGACCCAACTAGTGTTGGCTCTGGACCTAATCAGGTTAGTTATGAAAAGGTATCTCCAACTCATTCTTAGGACCAGATGAATTGCTGTTTCCCATTCTCACTAACCATTTTCTGATTCCCCTTGAGTGATGATTTCAGTGTTTTGCAGAAAAGAATGACATTCCATCAATAGTTTATTAGAAGGTTGTTTTTTTTTCTTTAATTAGGAAGTCAAGTCAGAAATAGGAAATGCAGCCTGCTTAAGCCATGAATAGGAAATGAGGTTTTTGTTCTCAGTGTTTGATTTGCTAAATTAGCAAATTTGGTCTCAAGAGAATTTAAACACTAGAGATACCCAGATTTATTTTATCTACTGCATCTTTTAAATATTCAAGCTGGGGTAATTTTCCCCCATAAATTCAGATGTAGCCCTGAGAAGCCAGGTTTTTTAAAAAAATATAATATGAGTGCATTCATGGTTAATTATTTTAGCAGGAAGCCGTTCTATCTAGTGTTTTCTGGGCAGGCACTTTTTTTTTTTTTTTTTTGGTAGCACTATAGAGATTAAGAAACTGTGTAACCTAAAAGTAAAGGCAGTATTCACAGGAGATCTGCTAAAATGCAAATGAAAATCATGTAAGTATAGGGAGGTGATGAGGGTTTTAAAAAGACATCATGAAAGAAGGAGCCATCAGCCCGGCTGGCATGGCTCAGTGGTTGAACCTGGATCTATGACCCAGGAGGTCACCTGTTTGATTCCTGGTCAGAGCACATGCCTGGGTTGCAGGCTCGATCCCTAGTACGGGGCATGCAGGAGGCAGCTGATCCATGATTCTTTTTCATCATTGATGTTTCTATCTCTCCCTCTCCCTTTCCCTCTGAAATCAATAAAAATATATTAAAAAAAGAAGAGGAAGGAGCCATCAGTTGATGACACAAAAAGATAAGGACAATGGATGGTGACCCGTCAGGAATTCGGGGGATGGAACATCCAGTAGAAATCCAGTCAGCTGAGGAAATGGGGAGAAAGAATCAGCACGTTGAAGTGTACGTTTGAAGTGTGTGTACATCTGAAGTGTGTGTGAATTGCTTTATGTCTTTTAAAGTTACACTATAATTTCTTAAGAATGGGTAGGTAAGCCAAACCTCCCCACT